GGAAGTCTTACTCTCAATTGAGAACAGTGAAAATCCAACTGCCATTTTTTGTGATCTCAGTCGTACATTTGATTGTGTGCAACACGACGTACTCCTCGATAGATTGTACAGATATGGTGTTAGGGGAGTTGCCCATTGTTGGTTTGGTTCCTATCTGAAAGACCGGCACCAAATAGTTAAAGTGAAAAATATCTTCAAGATTTCAATGTCCGATCCGATTATTAATAAGAATGGAGTACCACAGGGCTCCATATTGGGCCCTATATTCTTTATTTTGTATATTAATGAACTACCACATGTAATGCCTGATGCATTTGTATCAGTTTATGCGGATGAGTCAACAATGCTATATCGCGATAAAGACATAAATTTTTACAATTTAAAATAACAAACTCACTTAATACCTTCTCTGATTGGTCCAGTAATCAGTCGCTCCTGTTCAATGTTCACAAAACTAAATTTTTATCATTTACATCACGTTCAAATTCTACTAAACCTGATTTTAGAATTTCCATCAATGGTGAGGATATTTTGAGTTGTAGTGATGTGAAGTTTTTAGGAGTGACTTTCGACTCTCATTTATCTTTTAAGACTCATTGTTGGAATGTATGTAAAAAACTCAATTCTAAATGTTATCAATTGAGAAATTTGGATAGAATACTTTTGCTGAGGTACAATCTACTTTTGAGTTCTACAAAAGGCTCTTAGAATATTCATTGCATTTTAAGACTTTTTTATGACTTGATGGATTTGATCCCTCCATAGAAGTTTTCTGTCTAAATAAGTACCAAGATATTTTATACAATTTTTAATAGGGAATTGAATTTGACCTACTTCCAGATGACCTTGTGGAATTTGATGTTTTCTAAAGAAAACACAAACTTCTGTTTTGGATTCTGATATTTCTAGACCAATATTTTCCTATTGATTAAGAACAGCTTTAATTGTGACAGTTTTGAGTTGGAAATGAAGTTATATGATCTGTTTCCATGTTAATGATAATCGGAAGATAATTGGATCCATGAGGGTCTTGTAGGACTCTCCAAGTAAAAAAATTTGAAATATCTTGTCTACAAAAGGTTAAGTCACATAGTCTCTCTTACATATCTCTGGCAGAAGCAAACAGATCAGACGCATATCAATTACACTGGTTTAGGACTTATTAATCCTGTACCGTTACAATGAAATTTAAATCAAAAGTTCATCGTAAAGTTTTGAGTAGTCAATCTCATGACACCACATATTATAGCAAATGTGATATATTTTATGAAACTAGAAGCGGAGGCTAAACATCCGATAATAGAACTAACGAAAATTCAAGAACATGTTTCGCTCGCAACTGGTGTTATATTCCACCCCCATGATACTGTAACAAGATATGCTCACTTGCCGTTCTAAGTTTAATCGACTTTGCGCATGACGTCATAGCGAGACAAAGCTAGGGGACTTGTATGTATCATATTTTAACGATGCATCATATGGCAACGTTGTTCCATTACTGTAATGAACAACTTCGAAACTTAAACTGTTAACGGTAAGTAAACCTCGATGCCATATCTTGCACTAAGAAGTCATAACTAGTTACTTCCTGTGAAAACGTGTTTTGAAAATTAATAAGTAATTTGTAAACTTAATTAAACAAATATACGAATATACTATTTGATTGTGTGTATTACAAACAAAATAAATATTGCTACAAAACATAAATTAAATATAGAAGGCCGGCAAAATGTAAAGAATTTGACCATAAAGGAAAACCTGGTCTTACTTGAGACTTTATGAATATCATTTAGACATTTATTTTACAATCTTTATGATTTTTCTTTTGCGGATATTGTAATTATCTTTAATATTTTGATTTAGAATTCGTATTTTAAAATACATTTTACATCTAAAAAAAAAGTAATTTTACATATTCGCTGACATTTACATATTTTACAGCTTATATTGAGTTTTTTTTAATATTCTTTTGTTATTTTTAATGTGACACCATTATAACTACGAAAAATATGTTCCAGTTCACTACATAGTACTACATACATCCAAAGTAACATTTTTTAAGACCTATCAAAAATAAAATATTACTTCAAGTTCTATTAAAATGGGCATTAGTATATATTATTATCTATTAAGACATTTATTATTATCTATATAAACATTTGCTCTGCTGTTAAAGTGTATCTAAAATCAAAATACTTACATGTTTTTTAATACGTTTCTTTTCTCCATTCTTCTTTTGCGTCTATTTTCAGGCGATATTTTAGCGCTTGGGGATTTTATTAGATGAACTGAATGTTTTCACCACAACATTTATATAACAATATAATATACAAAGTCTTTACTACATCAATGAATAAATAAAAATATCATTCACTGCGTTTTGAAATACACGGGATAGCAAACTCAAAACAATTACCTTTCTGCGCTTTTTATAGACGTAGAAATGGCGTATGATAATATATGCCTCCCCATTTTAAGAGATGAGATGTTGAAATTATTTCATACTCCAAATCAGGTAGTCAACATGATTATTAAATTCTACACTAATAGAAAAATATTTTTAAGAAATTTTGATAACACAATTGTAGGTCCAAGAAATAACAACAACGGACTTCCACAAGGCTCAGGTTTAAGCCCTTTTCTCTTTAATTTGTATACTGCTGACTTACATCAATTAAGTTTTAATCACATTCCGTTTAAAATAGTACAGTATGCAGATGACCTCTGCATATATACTGAAAATAAGAAATTTAATACCACTATGGCTTCTCTCAAAGACATCTTTGGTGTTGTTCATGAATGGTTAATATTAAATGGATTTCAGATTTCCTACTCCAAGTCTGAAGTTTGTGTTTTCAGTAGACACAACATACCTAAATTAAGTTACATTGTCCTAGGTTCATATAATTTTTCCATTAAAGACTCCGTTAAATATCTTGGCATGGCACTTGACAGCAAATTGACATGGAAAATGCATATTAATTACATGTTAGACCGATGTATAAAGGGTTTAAATTTTTTAAAAATGGTTACTAAGACTTGGTGGGGAGCTGGCGTTAAAACCGCCTTACTATTCTATCGTGCCTATATCAGGTCCATATTGGATTATGGATGTATCTTGTACGGCTCTGCTAGTTCACAGATTTTAAACAAAATAGATATCTTGCAGAACTCAGTCCTACGTGTATGTCTTGGTGCTATGAAAACAACCCCAGTCGAACCTCTTCATGTAGAAGCTATTGAGTAACATTTAAATCACAGGAGGCAGTTCCTGGCAGACAAATTTCTTCTTAAAATATCCAGAACCAACAGTAATCTATATTAAAATATAGTAGTATTAAATGAACAAGATTTGACAAATAAATATTGGTCGAAGAAAAATTCTCCACTACTGTGTATCGCACCTCAATGTAATCAAGATATCCTTAGTGATTTATATGATCCCAGCTCAATTTTGTTAGATCTTTATGATTACAATGGATCGTTTCTAAATATAAAGATTGTAAAACCTTCATATAGCGAAAATCTTCACATTAACTTATTATACTCAATACTTGCAAGCTTCGAGGAATCTGTGGCAATATATACCGATGCTTCAAAGTCCAAGGATGGTGTGGGATGTGCTTCTTATATTCCCTCCAAAAATATTAATTATTTCTACAAACTGGATAACATATTTTCTATATTTAGTGCTAAAGCTATTGCAATCTACGAAGCGTTGACATTTTTATCACAATCTACAATTGATTCTGCAGTAATTATATCGGACTCCCTGTCTGTTTTAAATTCCTTGGTTTTGGCAAAATACCCAAGTTACTCCTCCAAATATATCGTATATGCAATTAAAAAACGGATTTTAGAACTGCAAAAAGTTAACAAACACATTAATTTTGTATGGATTAAAGCACATATCGGTCTCGAACATAACGAGTATGTGGATATGCTGGAAAAAAAGTGTGAAAAATGGTTTGACCAATAAACTACCTGTAAGTTTTTGTGATGCAGTAGCTTATATTAGAATGAATTATCTCAATATTTGGAACGAATGTTGGTCACAACATACTTATACCAACCCTTCTAGATACTGCAGTATACAAAATCAAATACCGAATAAAACGTGGTTCCAGCAATATAATTATTCAAGAAAATATATCACAACGATAACACGTCTTAGATTTGGCCACGCCTGTTATCCCACACATCTCCATAAAATTCATGTTCTTGAAAATTATCTTTGTCAAAATTGTGGCAAAAAAGGTGATTTAGATCATATTTTTTTCGAATGCCAAAAATATAAGGATGAAACAGATCAATTTATTCAACAATTACATGATCTCAATGTACAGGCTCTGTTTAATATCCTTAGTCTCGTAGCTAATGGAAATGAGAGAATTTATAATGCATTAGTAAAATTTCTGTCAGGTACCAAAATAGACTTTTAGTGTCAACTATAAAAAAAATATATGTATATAGAAAATTTTGGTGAGCAACTTGGACAGTCCATAGCAAAGCAGCTGTCGAATTGAGTAGATAGCTGCTCAAGAGTTTGCTGTGGAACTCTGAGAACCTCATCATCTTGTTTATATGTAAATATAGATAAAAGGGAGATAATACAAAAAAAGTTAGTATTTTGAATTATATTATGTGTACCATTTTTTGAACACACTGATGATGTTGAAAAGATGCTACATATTTAACTTTTATCCTATTTTAATTTTAGCTCTTAAAGCATATTATTCAGCTCTTCGTTATTGATATTTTATGGACCTTATGGTCATAAAATTTTTATGTTTAAGATAGTAGTCATGTTGTAACTGGCTGATTGACACCTAGTCTATGCCAATAAAAAAATGGGCGACAAATTTTGTCTTGTCCGAGACACTCAGAACCTTAGAACCGGCCCTGATTTCAGCGAAGATGGTAATAATATAACCCAGCAATATTAACATCGTTTAAATTATAAAATGTTTGTTGTAAATTTCCAATCAAAAACCCGGATAATAAAAGATAGAGCTTGGATAGTTTAATCAATTGTACATAAAATAAAATTTAAAATACATATTAATAAATTACATTAACAACGTTAACATTTCTACTTATTGTCCTTTTTATCTTTCTTCTTTTTAGTTCGTTCCTGTCTTATTGATGACAATTCAGAATCGGAGAATTCGGCGTTCGATTTGCTTGAACTCATAAATTTACTACTGCCTAACGGTGTTGAAGTTCTTTGTCTATCCCGACTAGCATTTGCAGTCTTTAGAATTCCAGATAATTCAGAACTTTCACCTAGGAAGCTTCCTAATGTGCCATCCGTTATCATGGTACTTGAGGAAACTTTTTTAAGGTGTTTGTATAGGAAGTCCCGCAAGCTAATTTCACTGCCACTCACAGTCGTGTGTATATCTTTACGTTTTTTTCTGGTTAATTCCAAAGAACTAGAACTTGACGTTAGAGCTAGAGCTTCTTGTGTTTTATGTAAGGTCGGTATTGCCCATTCCATGCCAATACTTCTTAACATATTTTCTGTCAATTCTAAATCATCAGTCGAAGAGGATGATGACGTTTTTTTGTCCATAGAACGTGACCGATCGTCGCAAGAATCTCTACTCCTGTGCATATCTTTACTTTTACTAGAAGAGTTCAATAAGCTCATAAATTCTCCAACGGATTTATTACTGTCATCTTTAGGAGTCGTATTGCTAGTTTTATCACTCGAGGATTTACTAATAACTACTTTCTGTTTGGGAGAAGAAGGTGATGTTTTTTCATCTGGAACTCTGGCATTAGGTGTTGACGTTGACGAATTATATTCCTGAAGTTCAGGTATCACAATTAGTTGTGGAAAATTCAATGATTCCCTGGAGCTCTCAGGACTGGGTACTTTGGTTGAGACTTGGCTGTCAGCTTCAACAATAGTAGATAGCTCATGCGGCACCAAATTAACATTCCCATTTAACTTTTTAATAGATGTTAAGCCTTTTGAAGGTGGTGGACGTCTGTGACTTGATTGGCTACTACTATTACCTCCGTGAGGTTCAAATTTTGGAAGCATCGGTATATCTGACAGAATGGGAACGGATAATGGCTGATGTGGCTCGTTGGCAGAAATAATTTGTCGTGCGCCATCCGGTCGATTTTGAAGCCGACGTATTCGATCAAGAAGTTCTTGGTTTAAAGAATCTTGATTTAAAGAATCCTGACCTTCTTGAGACACTAAAAAAAATACAGATTTTATATAGATTGCTAAATTTATTAGTTATAAAAATTAGCCGTTTAATATAATGGTTATAAAAGTTTTTTAATAAAATATTACATAATAAACTTTGATCAAATGAAAGGCCAAATTGACGAAATGCCCCAAAAGATGCTCTAGGAAGCGAAAGTACTTGGGCAAGATTTAATTAATAAAACTGTGCTGGATATCTGTCTTTCATTTGATCAAAGTTCATTTATTCGAGCATTCAACCTTATATCTATTACATAATAGTTTTAGTAACTTTCTACTTAATATTTAGGGCAAAGCTACGAATGGTTTATAGACTGTGATCGGGAATTGTTTGTTCCTGACGTTTCAATGAAACTGCGGCAGACGTTATCAAAGGCGATGCGGCAGAGAACGTACTAACCTTCTGTCTCTCACTGGTAATCTTTCCCAACAACATTATGTAAATTTTCTTCTTCTTGGATGGTACATGGTGTAGTATTCCAAAGTGAAATCCTTCCTTTAGGTTTGTGTAGCCTTTTCAAGGCCACGTTTATGTTAGTAAACTGGCTTCATCACATGACTTTGATTCCGGAAACGGTAGCTGGCAGTTTTCTTCTTGGCTAATGGTTGGATACTGGAGGCAGTATAAGTTGTAGGTGTGGGTTAGATACTTCTACTGGGACGGTCAAGTGGTCTGGTGGAGGGTAGCTGTGGCTATTACCTCACTTAGGACAGTATTATTGTGCAATGAGATTGGTAACCATAGAAACCCGATCTCCCCTGTACTTTGTATCATTGTATCATTAATACGGTAAGCTGCATTTACGAAGACTCAAAACTAGTCGTCACTGAGTTAGTCTCAATAAGAGCAAGGATGTAGTTATGAATTAGGAAAGTATTAGTAATCTATTAATAATATATTATTGAATCGAGGATGCAGATGTGAATTCTTTATAAAAACGACGCAGTAGATAACAGCCTGCGATATAGTAGTTCACCTTTCCATAGATCTTATGGAAAATTTTCCTCTGTGTGGCCAGGATCTTGTTCATCTCTCTTCGCGCAAGCAGTAAGCATGTAGATTATAGGTTTATAACGGGCTGTTTAACGCTAGGTTTAGCTCTAGATTTGTAATATGAGTTACCAGTTAAAAATCTTTTTTAATTGGGCAAATATATTTAAAAGTCACTAATAATTTAAAGCAAAGTTTTTCATCTGCAGATAGAGATGAAATTCCATAATGTTGAATTATGGCCTGAGTTTATTGGGACTGAGCGAAACTCTCCATTTGATCACCAATTTCAACCAAATTGATTTGGTATTGAGTTTGACTGCATGCCGCTCGATTTCTTCCAAAGGCAAGGAGTGCCAAATCATTTGCATACAATAGTGCTCTAAAGGATGGATGATCCGTGATGCTAAGCCAGTTGTATAGACTTTAGAGAATAACGACCAATATGAAACTATCCGAAACTCCTGCTTCTAAAGTGAATGTGTCTTCTCTAATTTTCACCCGGATGGTTTCCCACTAATTCGGGTAAGAATGCATTAACTGTATGTTTAAATAGTTGAATTTGAGTTAACCTCTTAATCAGGCCTGCATACCACACCTGATCCAAACCCATTTAGGGTATTTTTAATGTGCCTATTATGAAGATATATCTGCCGTTAAAGCCTTGTCGAAGTCTGAATCCAAATTGAAACTAATGAATTATGTTGTGGTCCATAGAAACCCAAGAACCTTTCAGTTAGGAATCTCTCGGTAGATCTTGCCCAAAGTATTCAAGAAGTGAAATGGGTCAGGGATTTCTTTCACTATTTTGAAAATCACGATTAGCGTTTTGTTGTAAAAACAACCTATATAAGATTGTGTAATCATATAGTTATTTTATCAAAAATTGTGCCCCTCTCAGGGTCGTCAGCTTATCCTGTGATCGTTGGGGGTCTTGATGTGTGCGACTGTATCTCCTACATCAGGGACCCGTCCTCCCCTCGTTCATATAACTTAAGAGTGACAGAGTGCCAAATTTTGCCTCTCGGCAAAGTGAATGGGCCGTGTGTGTGTGAGCCCGAAAAAGTGACGTAAGGCCGCGTATGCGCTCATCGTTGAGCCGTGTTTTTCATTGTTTTTGTGTTAAACGTTATATAGTTAATCTCTCTCAATTTTTATCATTTCATGTATTATTATGTAATTGTTCTATTGCTTCATGTGTCCTTAAATAAATATTTTGAAGCAATTTAGGTGTTCTAATAACGCCTCTCTTAAATGGGGATAGTGTGGCTACAAAGTTTACCCTTATCCACCACGTTTGAATATTTTTCCCCTGAAGTAGAAAAACATGCCAAAGGCTTGCAGGAAGTATCATTCTCCACTAAGTCTGGTAATTAAATGGGAATCATAATCCGGTTTAGAGGTTTTTTTCAACATATGTGGATTTCTATTGTGGGACGATGAATGTATTTCCCCGATCTAGTCAGCTTAGCGCTGATGCTATATTCACTCAGAATGAGAGCAGTATTCAGAGGATCAAAAGTCCTCTTGCATGACAAATTGTTGTGTATATATCGGGGAAGCGTAAAGTTATTGGGCGCACGAAGGGTTCATTTCTGTTAAATGCTTCGACCTATTCCTGATTTTATCTAATCCAACTTGATTGTCCACTGCGTGATCTTGACGCTTTGTTATTATGTCTGTTTAGAACTTCAAAGTTTGTTCCAGAATGTATTGCCGTATCTGTAACCGAGAGCCGAAAGTAAAACAAATTCCCACTCATTTCGTTTAACTGTGTTGACTTCCAGATGTTACACTGGCAGACAGACAATTATATTTCTGTTCTGAAATGGAGAGGTTCTCTGAATCAGTTATATTCACCAAGGAGGCAGCCGGTTATTTGGCAATATGTAGTGCAAAATTCGTTTCCGGAAGAGGACTGAGATTGGAGATCAAATAATTTGGAGATTGGAATTTAGACTTACTGTAACTCGAAACTTTATCTATTTGGTAAACAAAGATATTTTGTTTTTTCGTATCCTTATCACAATTCCTCATTGTGATAAATACGCCGATTCCTCTTCTAAAGGTGTCGGGTTAACTGCAGTACAGCTTCCATTTTTCTTCGGATTATGTCCATTAAGAATAGAGAGCATACATTTTCTCGAACCTCTTCGGAAAGGTTTTCCTTTATTTCTCCGATTTCTAGCTGCCTCTCCGCATTCGTTTTGTATGCTTAAAGCTTTGAGCTTTTATTTTAGCTATGGAGACAAACTTATCGTCCTCGGGCATCATATTATCTAAGCGTTAGTTTACTTCTTCCTTCTTAGCCTTCTAGTTGTCCCTCTCTCCCAACTCCTTACATCGGTCTCTATCCTGCAGCAACCTATTTCCAATTTGTTCCGGCTAATTCTTTCGAATGTCCCATCACCTATCCTCCTCTGTGGTCAAACAAATATTAGTTAACATATAAGTAAATCTATTTGGTTTGTCTACCTATCTTCAAGCCTTTTCCAAATATAGACTGCGTACGCGGGTTCTTGATCTGGTTTATTATTGATAGCGAACTCAATATGGTAAACGACAAGAAAACAGACAAAATTTTCATTCAAAGAGGTGTCAGACAAGGTTGTTGTGATATCTCCTTTCCTCCGTTACAACATTTGTTTAACGTGTACTCGGTGAATTATTATCCAAAACGAAGCCTGGTGAAGGGCTATCTAATCGGGAGGAGAAACGATAACATCAGATGATTGCAGTTAACACAGCGATCATGGCTGAAAGCATCAAAGTATCTTCAATTTCTTATTGGTCAGAGTCACTTAGAGAATGCTGTAATAACGGTCCTTAGCATAAATACATCAAAGACAAGTTGGCCCTATGTAACTAACGGTCAACAATTGAGCCGATATGCAAAAAATTAACCGTTTTAAATACCTGGGATGATGGATAAACGAGACACTAAATCCAGGTTGAAGAAGAATTAAAAATCGAATAGAAATTGCAAGAGAAGCATTTATGAAACTTAGATATATACTGTGTAATTCTCAGCTGAACTTACAACTAAAAATCAAGTTCCTAATATGGTTATGTGTATCCTTTACTACTATATTGATATGAAACGCGAATCATGAAGGTTTACTCTGATGAGCAAAGTTAGAAGCTTTCGAGATGCAAGTCATATCGTTTAGAATGCTCAAAATATGGATTCAAACGCATCTTAAATCAGAGAAGTCTTAAACAGAATATGTCAAGGCGAAGAATACTGAATGTCTTAACGAAGATGATAAAAAGGAGAAAACTTAAATATTTGGGACATACAATGAGAGATAGTAGATACTGGATACCGCAGTTAATACTCAGCGGAAAGAACGGGGGAAAACAAGAATTGGTAAGCAGAAATATTCATGGTTCCGAAACGTTCGTCAATAGACTGGCTTATCAGCAGATTAATTGTTGCATACCGCGCAAGATCGAGAACAATATCGACAAATAGTCGTGGCAGCTACCCACACCTAATTTAGGCACGGTACTCAAGGAAGACGAAGAAGGCAACAGGCTGAATGGTAGATAGGATGATGTTTTATCTGCAATTTCAAAAATAACAACAGTTTTTTTAAATCTTGGTGAGACCAGAATGGCTACACGGTAAAATCTTGGGTTCCACTGCAGGAAAAATAGACATAATTGCCATTCTGCGTTTTAAAATGTATATTAAATATGTAAGAGATGAATGAATGCATTATAGACTTCATCTAGAAACGACTTCTAAGGAAGAAAAAAGATTAAAATATGTACATAACATTAAAACAGTCCAATAAAGGTTATCAATTATCCCAGACATTGTCAATATGTGTATTATATCTAATAAATATACAACTTAATATACGTACCAGAATTTGATGGCTTTTCTGGGATAGTTACGCCCTCAGTTTCTTTATCTCTGGGTGCATCTGTTGTATGTATAATGGGCCTGTGTAGCTGCTTCATCTGCCCCATAAACTCATAATTTATTTCTGTTAATTTTCTAAATAGTTCTTCTTCGTCCAAACTTGAACTGGAGCTTTTACTTTCTTTCGAATCTGCTTTATATTCAGGCAGATCCATGTAGGCTGTTGAAAAATCTTTCGCGCATATGTCAGAACATTTGGGAACCTGCAACATTTTTCTTTTATCTTGTTTCAGTTGCTCTATCCTGACAGCTAACGCTTCTATTCTTTTGGTACAAGTATCAGTGACCTCAGCATACTGCTCTAATATTTTTTGTTTCGATGTTTTACAAGGCAAGTTTTCAGAAAGTGCACTGTTTGATGGTTCTTTTTGGGAACTAACAACGCTAGGGCTAGTGTTGAAGGGTACTGAGCTATAATCGGGTGAATAAGCACGTCCATCTACAACATTCTCCGCTCTTGATTTTAGCTGTTCCAGGAGTAAACCTTTGGGATTATTACTTTCTATTTCTATTATACTTTGAGTTGGCGTTTCAACGTTACTGCTCGATACACTTAAATTTTCTATACTGCCTCGGTTCATATTTAGTAACTTTTTGACATAATGAAACACTCTTGGGTCGCCTAATTCTTGTGAAGAGAAAGCAGCTGATAGTTCACTTTGTTGTGGTTTTCTAAAATAATCTACGTGCTTATCGCCGGTTTTCCTTCTTTGAAAATCTGGAGGACTTAGATAAGAAGTACTAGTGGTCGATATGGAATTTTTGCTAAGCTGATCTCTCCAGGTTTTGGATTTTTCCAGCATACTGTTTGTTTTTGTGTCAAAGAATTTAGATTTTTGTTTCTTAGGGCGATCACGAGGATCTGATATTTGAACTCCAACATCTACGTAGTTTTCTTTAGATAATTTGACTGGCTTTTCTGTTTCATTTACAACTATTTCCGGTTTATCATTAACCTGAAGCTTCACCAGTATGTGACACTTATCATCAGAAGATTTTTTGTTTTCTTTATCACAGTCACAAGGAATATGAAGTTTGGTGCAAGTTACTAATGGTGGAATGTCATGAAGTGATGGTGGTGGCGCTATTAAAACTGGTGGTGATGGTACAGCTTTCGGAATTTCTTCATATGTGGATGACTTTGGAGTTGTCTGAGTGCTGGTATTTTGTCGAATAATGACTTTGGTTTTAACCTTTGCCTTCTTCCTGGGAGACTTGCTTGTAACTGAAAAACATATGTGATATTTTTTATTATATCGTAATCAATTTAATTAAACGTATGTATATGAATTGTCTGGCTGTTATAAAGAAGCAAGGGTTGAAGAACTCCTACAGGATAATGCTACTGTCTTATCCTCGATAAAAGAAAGTAAATTAGAGTCGGACCAGCCTTTTACTGTAAGTAGATCAAAAGTTATAGTTGCATGAAGAGTTTCAATATTAGAGTTGCTCCAGGTCATAGTGGTATTATCAGCAAAAAGAAAAATTGATCCAGCTATTTTTCAATTAGTGATTTATAGTCATTTATAAAGAAAAGGAAAAGTAGAGGACCCAATACTTAACCTTGTGGTACTCCACATACGATGTTTTTGTGACTAGAGTCAATAATATTTGTTCTAACCAGATGTTTCCTATTCTCCAAGTAAGATTGAAACCAATTTAAATAAATACCTCGAATTCCGTAGGAATTTAGTTTTTTTACAAAATTTATGTGATTTACACCATCAAAAGCTTTGGCATAGTCACAAAAAAACAGTAGCAGTGTAAATATTATTGTTTAGTGCTTGGTAAACCTCATGTAGCACAAAAAATATAGCATTACTGGTAGATTTATGAGACAGATATTCTGATAAAATACTGTTTTCAACGAGAAAGGACATAAGTCTCTCAATAATAACTCTATCAATAAGTTGGATAGTACCGGTTATAAGGAAATAGGTCTACAGGGTGATTGATTAGTGTGAGGAAGCTCAGTAGATCAGTTATAGTAAAAATTACTAAAAAAAGTTATTAACAAAAATTGTAGGCAGCTTTAAACTCCACATTTTAAAATTAGTTACAATCTTACAGGGTGTTCCATAAGATGGTGGCAGACCAAACTTATGTTTTTTTTTAATGGAACACCCTGTATTTTATTTTAAATTTAAAATCGGCTTCACTCCCACATCACAACAATGTAAAGTTTTATTATGTTATACCGGGTATCTAAAAAGTTATAACCAATATTACCTGAAAATCGTATCAAGTTTAACTCCCTGTGCAATTAAAAAGGAGTATAGGAACATTGATCTATTGTAACCATAGTTTTTAAAATATTTTTAAAAATTATAAAACATATTCGTTTCCATAATATTCGTTAAACCAAATACAGGGTAAGTCAAAATGCAAATACATTATTTTCTTGGTAATTTTAAATAGAACACCCTGTATTTTATATCACTATCAAAAAGTAATAATATCGTACTTCAAATTTTATAAAGTACTCCCTATACCTAAAGTTATCAGTTTTCTAGATATTATTGTTTTTCCATCAAAGTATTAATTTGGTAGATATTTTAACGTTTACCAACTCACAATATAATTATTGTGAGTTGGTTATGATTGATTTGTCAAAAACTGACAGTTTGACATTATTGTTTAAAAATTTAGTAACGAAATAACGACACAGAAAAGAAAACAATTTATTTAAAATAAAATTTATAAAAAATAACCGACGGAAAATAAAAAAAAAATAACAACACATAGAAAAATTAAAAACAACAGTAAGTTTAACTTATCTTACTTAAGTAAGGTGTTCAAAATGACCTCCCAAAACATCTATGTATGCTTGAAAACGGTCATTGAAAGAGTTGGTTACATTACTAAGCATTTGTAAAGAAATATTTTGAAATGCAATTCGGATTCTATTTTTCATATCATCCCTTGTTGTTGGGGGTATTTTATATACTTCGTTCTTAACGTAACCCCAAAAAAATGAGTCCATTTTATTGAATTCTGGTGACCTTGGGGGTCACCTTACCGGTCCATCCCTTCCGATCCATCTTTCCCCAAACTGATTATTAAGCTCACCACGTACTAATTCGTTGTGGTGCGCAGGAGCACCGTGTTGTAGAAACCACATTTTTTCACGTATATTAAGTGGAACCTCTTCTAATAATATCGGTAACTGATTTACGATAAAATCTAAATAAATCTCACCATTTAAATTATCTTAAAAAAATATGGTCCTACTACATGGTTACCGACGATACCTTCCCACACATTTAGAGACCATCTTGTTTGACTATGTGTTACTATGTGGTATGGATTAATTGTTGAGTAGTAGTGAAAGTTATGCCTATTAAAAGAACCGTTTCGATGGAATGTAGCTTCATCACCAAATAGGACATAATCAAAAAAATCTCTCTGCTCATTAATTTTTTCTAATGCCCATTCACAAAATACTATTCGTTTCTGAAAATCATCATTAATTCTTGGTGCTTTTTAATATGATAAGGGTGCATCTTGTTTTTAGATAGAATGTTTTGAACAGAGTAGTAACTAAGTTCTTGTTCATTGGAAATAGTCCTTATGCTTGTGTGTGGGTTTTCTGTAACCGCCATCAACACACTCATTTCGTTTTCCTCTGTCACACTAGTTTTTGTTCGTTCATGTTTTTCATAATTCACTGAACCAGTGCGGTTAAATCGATCTTTCAATTTTTCAAATGTATCTTGTCTAGGTTGTCGCCTATCTGGAAACCGTTCTTGATAAATTCTAGCTGATAGTAATGAATTTTTATTGCATTCCCCCAATATCCAGATCATATCTACCATTTCATCAGTAGTAAAATTCATTATTGCTAATTTAAATTGAATCAATTACTGAATTCCTCCTCCTCAATCCTTTAGCCCTTGTCAGGGCGTACTGACACCCTAAATATTATTAGTCTGCTGTCTCCATTGACTGCGATCTTGTGCCATATGGACGGCTTCATGTAGGGATTTTCCCACCAAACTCTTCATTTGGTCCACCCATCGTATTGGAGATCTTCCTCTTGGTCTTCGGCCTTCTACCTTACCTTCTACTACCAATAGTTCCATGGTGTCCGTTCTTCTAGCTATGTGGCCGAAGTAAGTTAGGTATGCTTGGTTTACTTTTTTTAGTAGCCTGTCTTTTATATGAAGCTCTTCCAAAATTGACAGGTTGGTTCTATGTTCTGTCCAGGACACGCGTAGAATTCTATTCTATTCTATTCATTAGTAATTACTGAATTACTAAATAATAATTGTTGCTAATTTACGGTGTACCCCAATACTGAATTAATAAATATTAATGTCAAACTCTCAGTTTCTGACAAATCAATCATGGCCAACTCACAATAATTATTGGTAAACGTTAAAATATCTACCAAATTATTACTTTGATGGAAAAATAAAAATATCTTTAAAACTAATAACTTTAGGTATAGGGAGTACTTCATAAAATATGAAGTACGATATTAGTTCTTTTCGATAGTGATATAAAATACAGGGTGTTCTATTTAAAATTACCAAGAAAATAATGTACTTGCATTTTGACTTACCCTGTATTTGATTTAACGAATATTATGAAAATGAATATGTTTTATAGTTTTTAAAAATTATTAAAAAACTATGGTTGTAATAGATCAATGTTCCTACAATCCTTTTTAATTATACAGGGAGTTAAACTTGATACGATTTTCAGGTAATATTGGTTATAACTTTTTAAATACCCGGTATAACATATTAAAACTTTACAGTGTTGTGATCTGGAAGTGAAGTAGATTTTAAATTAAACATAAATTATAGGGTGTTCTACTTAAAAAAACATAAGTTTGGTCTGCCACCATCTTATGGAATACCCTGTAAGATTGTATCTAATTTTAAAATGTGGAGTTTAAAGTTGCCTACAATTTTGTCAATAACTTTTTTTTTAATGTTTACTATAACAGATCTACTGAGCTTCCTCACACTAATCAATCACCCTGTATAGTTGCAGGCATTAGATATTTCGCCACCCTTATGAGGAGGAATAATAATGGATGTCTTTAGGCAAAGGTACATTTAGGAAATGTACCTTTTTCATTGGAATCAATAATTGGTAAGACCAGAATTTCCAACATCTATTTTGGGAGATTTCAGAACATTTTGATGGATAGTCCATCAGTATTACAGGAAAATTGCAAGATATACACCGGAAAACAAAACTCTGAGTCTATAAAACAATAATCATAGTAAGTTATGGGTGTGAACCGTGGGCCATAACACAGAAATCTCACAATGCATTAGATGTGTTCAAAAACTGTCGAATTAGGATATAATAAAGAAATATGCGAACAATATAAAGAACCAACACTATCAATACACTAGGCTGCAGCGATTATAGTAAGCAGGGCACGTGGCCCAGATGTAGAACAGAATCTTCAAAAAAATATTAAACATAAGAATGCACGGAATCTGTTGGTTCAAAAAAGAGATGGGATGAGAAAGTAAATGGGGATGCCAAAAACCTCCTAAAAACACGTTGATCGAGATCCAAAGAATAGCAGTAGATCTTTGACGAAGATTACTGAAGGAGGCCAAGGACGACTTGGGTTGTAGGGCACTTGGATGGATGGATGCACTTGAATTCTTTATAACTGATTTCTTTCTTAGAGTGCAGTCTGCCTACGGAGGTTGGCAATCATAATCGATTGTCAACTGATTTGGACCAATTTAAAAAACAGTTTCCATATGTCAAGAAAGTAAATAAATTGGTTAGTTCACTAAAATCACGTTAGTCCAGTCACGGACATTTCGTTATTGAGAATGAGTTTCCAAGAGTTTTCATAATCCATAAATTTAAAAATCCATGTTATGGCCTTCATTAACAACATGTGCAGCTAAAGAGCACCTATATGGAATAATCTACAGTCACTTTTAAGGGATGTAATATGATCTTTAACATGTCTAGTGGTTTGGCCAATGTAATGCTTGCTACAATAAATATTCAGAAACAGTGATTTTGTTGTTCATTTTGCAATAACTGTTTTGTTTATAAACCGATTTTAATTTATCATATTTCATTTTGTTGATTAACATTGATTTTAATTTACCATATTTCATTTTGTCATATCTTTTTTTCTGAAAAAGTTGTGTGTTGACGTCAAATCACTACATAGGCAAGTTTTGAAGTTATGAGCAAAATAATGAGTTTGATGTTTTGGTTGTTTATTTAAAAATACTTCCAAGAAAAATTTGATGAACCCCTAGATGAGAGACTATTTGTATCTCATGGTACACATTTCAACTGTCAAACCCGTCTGTACAATTGTGACGAAAAAAGGCTTATTTGAAAGACTGAAAAAATACCCAACGACCAAATTCGACAATATATAAGATGCTCAACACTTACTATTAAAGACATTGAACGCAGATGCAGATGTCATTTAGTTTAGCCATGTCCAAAGAATTGATAGACGACTTCCTAGGTAAATAATAAAATGGGTACCAGTTGAAAGAAGGAAAATAGGAAGACCAAAACAGACACGGTTAGCTTTCAAAGAGCAATGTCGGAACTAATCTTTAGGCTGGAGATTGAAACGACAGGCAATAATGGAAACTAGAAACCGGAAAGAGTAAGACGCTATGAAATCCGGAAGAAAAAAAAATGAACTTACCAATCTTACTTTCCAATCTAGTCATTTCACTGCCAGAACTATCCACACTACTATCAATCGAAACATCTTGGTGCTTTTCCTTTCTAGGTCGTTTCCTTGGAGTTTTTTTCTTATCATCGTTACCATTATCTAAAGATCTCAAATCGTTTATTAAATCAGCTACACTATCGTCTTGTGGTAATGCAGAGATTTCTCTTAACAATTCTTCCTTCTGCATCTTCAACTGCTTTAACAACTGCTTCAATTTAGTTCTTCTATCATGCGGGTCTTGCTGTGTGAACGATTTGAGAATGTCCCTAGCCTCTTGTGCGGAAAACAATTGCGGTCCCTCATGTGTATTCAAATTTGCTACATTTATGGAGTCAACTGACTCAGCAAGGGAACTTTCCCGTCTTTCCTCAGTTTGATGTTTTTTTGGAAGTGTAACAATTGCAGGTTTAAGACCCGGAAATAATTTATTATAAGCATTCTCCAAACTATTTTGTTTTGCTTGTTCTCTTTCTTTTAGTCGTTCATCTGACATATGATATTCGGGTTTATCATTATAAATTTCATTTATCCTTTCCTTCTTCTGTAACAGTGGTAATACTTTAACCATTTCTTCGTATTCTCTTTGGAGCTTTTCCTTTTCTAAAGCTTGCTTACCTCTGATATGTGCTTCTCTGTGCCTTCTCCTCTGTGTTTCTTGCCAATGTTCCTCCATATCTGGATCGGGTATAACTTCTAAACTTTCCACAGGAATCTTTTCGACAAATGAGGTGGAAGGAATGGATCGATCATATCCAAACCTATTAGGATGATCATACATTTGAACTAAATGTTGTTTACTACCACCAGGTTTTACTAATTTGTTAAATTCTTCTGTAATAAGTTGTGATGTTGATATGTTCTCATTTTCAAAATCTTCAAGAGTCCTTGAAGGCGCTTTGGCAGGAAGCTTTTTTGAAGGAATTACCTTAGTAACAGATGTTTTTGATTTGACACATTTTGTAGGCGTTTTTGATGCAACACTTGGCTGTTTATCCACGCCTCCCGTTTTTAATTTGATAAATGGTTTTGAAGGAATCTCATTAAGTTTACTTTTACTAGTCTCTGAATGCTTTCTACTATCATTTACACCAAGAACAGTTTTATTTGATAAATGTTGAATATGTTGTTCAGGAAGTTCACTTGTTGGTGGCGCCTTTGCCCTATCATCTTCTGATTCCTTACACCTTCCATGGAAAACGTCATCTTTATAAATCGAATGAACTTTATTGTGACTTTCGATATTTCTATTTGCACAGTGGCAGATACAGTTTGTACAACATTTTCTATCTTGTAAAAAATCTCGTACCACGGTACCACTTGGTATTTCAGGAATTTGACTAATTCTAGGACTGGAACGTTCTTGAGCATGTGGTGCAAATTCTCTACCTCTTATTCTATCCGATATTCTAGTGTCAGCATAACTAAGTCCTTGGGAAATCTGAGGAGCATATTGTTTATTAATTAAAGGCTCTTTATGTGAAGCGAATTGAGATATAGAAGGGGGAGGCGCTGTAACAGAAGATGGTGGCGCAGTCACAAAAGACGGAGATGCTCTATGCGAATACTCATACTGATTTTTATCCGATGAAATAGTTGTAAACTGTGTATTGCCTGGACCAGGGGTAGCAACCGATGTTTTATTTAAATACGCAGATTTTGAGCTATCTAAATAAGGTTGCTGCTTACGAATACGAGTTACCGCATGGAGATCTCTTGTTGAATAGTTACTAGCTAAAGATGGATTTAGCAAATCTGAAATAAAAAAGTAAAGTAAATTAATTAATGAATATTTAAGATCTAAAATCATAAATATGTATCATTGCTCCTTCTCCATATATTATTTTTATTCAATAATACTATTTTAAAGAGGTGTCTTTAAATTGTTATGATGTACAGGGTGTTTCATTAATAATTGGAAATATTTGCTATTACCTATAGCGTATTTTTAGATTCTAGAATACTGTCTATTAAAATAACTTACTCTTTATTTGTAACAATAAAATCATTTTTCGAGATATTTGAAGGTAACATGACTGGCCTTTTGGCTTTGCCAGTGCTATTAACTTGGGAAGAAAAAATTATTTTTTTATATAAAAATGAAAACAAAAACATCGCAGATTGCTGTGGAAAATGAGTTCAACTTAACGACCACTTGGACTCGAGAATGGATGAAACAACAAAACAGCAGCATACCCTGCATCAAACAAAAACCACCAGGTTTTGACTTACCACGCAACACATGGACTATGTTGAACCGAATCAGAACCCAACACGGCAGATGCGGTTACATAATGCACAAATGGGGTAAACGACCATCCCCACTCTGTAACTGCGGGCAACCCCAAACCATCTGTCACATTACTGAACAGTGTCCCACAAGATCCTATCAAGGCAGATCAGAGGATTTCCTAATGGCGACTCCAGAGTAGATATGATAGACTATATAAATAAGTTAGATGTCGTTTGTAAACATATATATTATGTTACATACAAAATAAGTAATATGTAAATTTAAAAGTAAATGTGTCAAGTGCCATACGGTAAATAAAATAAATACCTCAATAAGCTTATTAATTCATTTTTTGAAAATAACTTAAAACACTTTATAATAAATAAACTGTTCTATAAATTTATTTATATCAGAATCAGCTTATTACGACTGAAACATTTTTCCTCGTCATTTAGATAAAATGCTTATGCTTTCTTGGTATTTAAATGCTTACGACATTTACTAGAAATAAGTTTAGTTTTTGTAGTTGGCTCTGATTTGAATTAATCGTTTCGATCTACTAGGATGCTGTCGTTGTTGTTACTGCCACTAAATATTCTGATTGTTGTAAAACTTAAAAAGCTGATTAAGTGAAAATGTCACGGCGTTTCGTCAACAGAAATCTTCGGATTTCTACTTTCGTGATTTATTATCAGATGTCGCTATAGCGTTCATGCGTTTATCAGTAATGACCACCTCATTGTCCTTTAATAGTATGAAACTATCTAGCTCAGCAATTTCCTCTTCGTTGGATTGACAGAAGTAGTGAAATTCCGTGCCTGTGACCGCCTAGAACACCCGAATGTAATCCCTTAGATTTTTATTTATATTTTTTTTTTAATTTTTCCAAAACACGCTCAATAATATCAAAGCGGAAGTTGCCGTTAACGGAAAATTAATTAAAAACTTACGATATGCAGACGACACTATGATCATAGCAACGAGTATTGAAGATCTACATCTTATCGAAATCTTAAGTATGAATAGTGCTGAGAATGGAATTACTATAAACGCTAAAAAAACGAAAAATCATGGTAATTACAATAAGACCACAAAATATACATCACCTATTGATAATAAATGGTAACGTGATAGAACAAGTAGAAAAGTATCAGTACTTGGGAACTTTGATCAATGAAACCAATGATCATACTGCAGAAATAAACAGGCGAATAGAGATTGCCAAATCAGCATTTATACGAATCAAGCCACTCCTAACGTGCAAAAATCTAAATTTGGAGATCAGAGTACATACCATTGGCTGTTATGTACTTTCAATATTATTATATGGAGCTGAGACTTGGGACATTAAAAAAAAATGTAATTTAAAAAGAATCGAGGCTTTCGAACTCTAGTTATACCGCAGAGAATTAAAAATATCATGGACTGATAGAATTACAAATAAAGAAGTACTGGAGAGGGTTGGTAAAGAAACAGAATTATTCACCACTATACAAAACAGAAAACTGGAATACCTAGGCCACTTGATGAGGGGACCAAAATATGAAATTTTGAGACTCATAATACAAGGAAACATTCAAAGAAGAAGATCTGTTGGCCGAAGGCAGAACTCATGGTTGAAGAATCTACGTGATTGGTATCAATGCAGATCGATTGATTTGTTTATAGCATCAAGTTCAAACATAAAAATAGCCATTATGATAGCCAACCTCCGTAGGGAGACGGCACTCCAAGAAGATTTTTATTTCTGAGGTGTGTAAAGTCACTGGTAGACTCACAAGAATTAAATAATCGTCAAGTATTATGGCAGAAAATAGTAAATTCCACTAATTATTTGCCAATCGGCCAAACATAAGTTTTAAAGTTAGAAGATCGTTTAACGAAAAAATTGAGAAGCTTATTGAAATAAATGGGCAACACATTGAACATTTGTTACAAAAGCTTTAGTTAAAATTTGTTTTTTGGTATTTTCGTGTTATTAAAATTGTTCTTTTACTTAGATTATAACAATTTGTTTTTAAATGTTGGATGCATGTATTCATTTGAAGAAATTTCCATAAATTACATTAGGTTTTATGTTAGTAGCGAATCTAATTTCATTTGCAAAATAAATGCAATCCTTTGACCCAAAAACGCCGACATAATTTATACATTAATCAGAATAACTTCACTTATCGTTACAAATAAGAAGCATGTTATTTACATTGTACTAATAATATACTAATACTACATGTATTTACATAAAGTATTGGAAAATCGAAAAATTGCGCTAAACAGGCATTATAAATAGTTTTAAAGTACTAGGTAGAAATTGTTTTTAAATTTTTAAATAAAACACCCTGTAACTCAATAAGGAGTCACATTTTATTTAAGTATGTAATTTGGGTTAAATCTTAATATTTTGAGTCCAGGAACCGACAGTTAAAATATTTCCAATTAAAATGAAATACCCTGTATAACAATTCTTTTTCCGAAATTTATTTATCGTATATGTATATCCTCCAACTAATTATTCCGATATGAAGTTAATGACTTTCTCCATGTCCATGATTCTTTTTAACATCTTTCCTGATAAAATGAACGATGTCGCTAAATGTTGTAACAAGGTAACTTACATGTTTGGTCATGCAATTTTAATGTCAGTTAACAATAATACTGTCTACTAGTCCTCCTCACAAGTCCGTTATGAAATTCCCGTTACGCCCATACCTAAGCAAAAAACACTCTGTGGAACTCTAAGCATACTCAAACATCTTTGGTATATATTTATCTTCATCTTGGGAATGTATACTATTCCCTGAACGATGAAAGCCCTCATTAACCACACTCATTAAGTATCGCAATCAACTACGTAAAGAGCATGATGAAAATGGCTCGCTGTGTATCAATCTCATTGTAAAACGGTACTTGTCCTAGGTGAGGATATAAATCCACAGCTATCCTTCATGTGTTTATTAAAGAAAGGGCAACAAATCTGGAAAGATAGTGTCCTTTTAATGGCATATCTGAACACAGTATTTTTATTGAATTAACCACCTGATCTACTCAGAAGAAACCCTCCACCAAATCCTCTCGGAGCTAACAAAAATAAAACTGTCTGCCGCCGTATCCGTAATCTCTGTCACCTTACTACCTTAGCCTTTACAAATAATTTTCTAAATATAATGAGGCCATTTTATGTAAACAAGTTAATTAGTTTTTGAATATGAAGTCGAGTTTTTAGATCGAGATATAATTGTATGCAGAAATAAATATAAATAAATATTGTGATAAATTAGTGAATATTTTAATAAAGACAATAAATTAGATTAATAAAAATACTACAATACCTAATAAACCAATTCAACAACATTTTGTGTACTTAATACTGTTAACAATCAAGTATATGAACATAACGGCCTGACATTGCGTAAAATATGACGCTTCATCCTGTTAGCGTCACTAGCCTCTCCTACTCAATTCCAACTCTCACCTCCACGCGGTGAACCCTGGTAACCTGAGCAACTCTGTGGAAGATTGTGGTAACCAACCCCAGTGGGAAGCAGAGTCAGGGCAAACGAGAGTGGGAGAAATGGTCCTTCGAAGATTAGGGGGTTGGGCAAAAGGTTAACGACCTCTTCCCTTAAAAAAACTCATTGTTATGAAAGCACAAAGTGGAAAAGCCGGACTGTTTAATTCACGACGACCTAGCAAACGACAACGGAATAACGATTTACGGATATGCACATGGAATGTACGAACCCTTTATGCCCCAGGTGCTCTTAGACTGCTAACACAAGAACTTGATAAAATGAAAGCCGATGTAGTAGCGATTCAAGAGATGAGATGGACTGGTTCAGGAATCATCGAGAAAAGAGACTACAATATATACTATAGCGGACATAGCAGTCGACACGAGTTTGGCAGTGGTTTTCTAGTCAGTAAAAAAGCAAAGCAATTAGTCCTTAACTTTAAACCCATAAACAACAGAATATGTTATCTACGTCTTAAAGGAAAATTCTTTAATTATAGCTTACTTAGTGTACACGCACCTACGGAAGAAAAGGAGGATAATGAAAAAGATGAATTCTATGACACCTTAGACAAAGAATATGATCGATGTCCACGTCATGACGTGAAAATCATTGCTGGAGACCTTAATGCAAAAATTGGCAAAGAGCAATTTTTCCAGCCAACTATAGGACGTGAGAGCTTACATGAAGAGTCAAATGATAACGGGTTGAGACTAATAAACTTTGCAAGTACTAAAAACATGATAGTAGGAGGAACAACATTTCCCCATAAAATGATACACAAAGGAACATGGAAATCCCCTGATAACGAAACCATTAACCAGATAGATCACATCCTGATAGATGCAAGGCACTCTTCCGATCTCATAGACGTCAGAAGCTACCGAGGCCCAAACATTGACAGTGACCACTTTCTTGTAATGGCAAAAATCAGAGGAAGAATATCAAACCTAAAGAAAGATAAACACACGAAACAAGACAGAATTAATGTTGATAATCTGCGCATTGAAACCGTTGCGAGAGAGTATAGGAGACAAATGGACGAAGAAATGGAGAGCCTGGAGGTGGGGGAAAACGTAGAGGAACTGTGGACAAAATGTAAAAACATAATAACTGAGAAAGCAACAAAAATATTGGGGAAAACCAAACCAGTTAACGAAAACGAATGGTTTGACAAGGAGTGCCAAGAAGCAACAGATAACAAAAACAGGGCATACCTAAAGATAAATCAAGCTGGATGCACAAGAAGAGCAAAGGAAGAATACCGGACACTAAGAAGAGAAGAAAAACGATTACATAGAAGAAAAAAAAGACAATTTGAGCAAAAGCAATTGGAAAGCACAGAATTTCTAAGAAATCAAAATGAAACTCGAAAGTTCTACAGAAATCTAAACAAAATGCGCAAAGAGTTTAAGCCAAGAATAAGGAGCTGTAAGGATGTAGAAGGAAACATCCTAAATGATACGGCCTCAATCCTAAACAGATGGGTTAAATTTTTCGATGCAAAATTTAATGGCCATCATATCGAAGAAGCAGATAACACCCTAGCAAATCGAAATGATTGGAATCCTTTCAGCCCAAACGAAAGACCACCTACCATCGAAAACGTTGCCCAAGCCATTAAAAAGCTTAAAAATAATAAATCACCAGGAGTTGATCAAATTTGCAGTGAGCTCTACAAGAATGGTGGCGATGCCCTACTACAGACACTGCATAAGCTTTTACTTCTTGTTTGGCATAATGAGACCATGCCTTGTGAATGGTCTCAAGGCGTGATATGCCCGTTACATAAAAAAGGTGACCAGCTCCAGTGTGACAACTATAGAGGTATAACTCTGTTAACAACTGCTTACAAAATACTAGCAAATATTCTCTACGAAAGGTTGCAAGTTTACACAGTGGGCATAGTTGGTAAATATCAAGTTGGATTCACTCCAGAAAAATCAACAATTGACCAGATTCATTCAATAAGACAGATTCTCGAGAAAACATTAGAATTCAATATTGAAACCCATCACCTATTCGTTGACTTCAAGGCAGCATACGACAGTGTCAAGAGAACAGTGCTATACCAATCAATGCATGAGTTTGGTATACCAGAGAAACTTATCCGACTAACGAGAATGACAATGTCTAACTTAGAAGCCACTGTTAGAATACAGGGAGAGAGTTCTAGATCCTTTGAGATAAAGGATGGACTCAGACAAGGAGATGCTCTGGCTGGCCTCCTATTTAATATTGCCTTAGAAAAGGCAGTCCGAGATACACGAATTAGGGACGGCGGTACTATTTACAATAGATCGATACAGGTCTTAGCATATGCTGATGACATTGACATAATAGGGCGTAGCAAGCGAGATGTTGAGCAATATCTCCTAGAATTGGAAACAGCGGCGAAACAGGTCGGTCTAGTCATCAACGAAGACAAAACCAAGTACATGTTGGTTACAAAAGATCCGATAGCAAATGAGGAACGAGAAACAGTCTTTGGAAGTCATACCTTTGGACGTGTTGACAACTTCACATACCTTGGGTCGCTATTGACTGCTACCAATAAAACAAGCGAAGAAATCAAAAGACGAATAAATCTTACAAATAGGGCATACTATGGACTCCAAAAGCATTTCCACTCAAGAAACATTCAAAGAACTAAAATTATTGTATACAAAACATTGCTGAGGACGGTCCTCACATATGGAGCAGAAACATGGACACTAACGCAGAAAGATGAAAGACTTTTGGGAATATTTGAGCGTAAAATACTCCGCAAAGTATTTGGAGCTGTAAACGACCAAGGGCAGTGGCGCAAAAGATATAATTTTGAATTGTATCAGCTCTTTGATGAGCCAGATGTCATAACGTTCATTAAAACACAGCGACTTAGATGGGCTGGACACATAATACGAATGCCAGAAAATACCATTGCTAAAAAGCTAACCACAGGAACACCTGTAGGAAAAAGAAGCAAAGGCCGACCGCGAATTAGGTGGTTAGATGGAGTAGAAACCGACTTACGAATATTAAAAATCAGAAGATGGCAACATGTTGCCAAAAACCGAACAGAATGGCGACGAATCTTAGAGCAGGCCAAGATCCAAAGAGGATTGTCGAGCCAAAGATGATGATGATGGCCTGACTGTTTCTTCTACTGGTAAGTGACTGCAACTGAAATGAGTCTAAAATTACCCAATATGAGACCACATAAGGATATTTCTTATTTTTCCTTACAAATAGAAATCTTAAAAATCGTTTTTGCACTTTTTCAATCATTTATGAGTTTGAAAATGCAGTAAGAGACCAGATGATTGAAGTATATTCCATATGTGGTCTTACCAGGGCATTATAGAGCTTTATAATTGTGCTTATTCTGAAATTTTTGCTATTTCTAATGACAAAACCCAAAACACGAAAAGCTCTGTTAGTTATTTCATAAAAGTGTATATTGAACTTCATGTTGATTTGGAATTTAACTCCAAGTTCCTTCATAACACTCACTCTCTCAACTCGATCATCATTAATATAATAATCTTCAACACTATTGAGTTTCCGCGTACATAAAACTATTGCACACTTTTTAACATTAAGGGGCATTTTTGAATCGTTAAACCATTGAATAGTTGATCTTAGATCATCTTGCAATTAGACTGAATCTTTCTTATTAGAGATTGTTTTAAAAAGTTTAAAATCATCGGCATAGATTACTGTTACAAGATTTAATACAGTCTGGCAAGTCGTTGATAAATAAAATAAAGAGCAATAGTCCTAGTTTGCTCACCTGTGGGACTACTGAGGATGACACATATTGGTGAGAAAAAGATTTACCTACTTTTACTGTATTCTTCCTATCTGACAAATAAGATTTTAATAAATTAAAAGCTTTTCTTGAGAAACCAAACTGTACCAGTTTATTTAAAAGAATACACTGATTTACCTTATCAAATGCTTTTTCGAAAAGAGTATACAGAACATCCAACTGTTCCTCTGCCTCAATAGCCTTAGCAATATGTTCAGAGAGAACACAGAGATTAGTTACTGTTGATTTATCTCTTACAAAACCATGCACCATAAAAACAAAAACGAACAAGAACAAGTGACTGGTTTGACGAAGAATGACAGATATAAACAGAAAAAAAAATGTAACAGGCAAGCAGAAGAGGAATATAAACAATTACCACGAAAAGAAAATCCACAGGACCAGAAAGAATTACAGGAACTAAGTAAATAAGTAAAACAGCAGATCAAGAATATTCTACAAGAAAAAAAACAAAAGTAGAAAGAATTACTTCAAGTGATTGTTAAGTTTGTGGAACTCCAAAAACCGAAAATTTCTTGTTATTAATTATTTACAAGTCATTTAGACCTTAAAAATAACTTGCATGCAAATTGAGATTACCATGTTAATGAAAAACATTTTATAGAGAAAGAATCACGCTTGCAATGGATAATTTTCAGTGATAACCAAAAGCTGTCTATCACCACACAGTGTATTAAACCTAGATGACAGAAACAGTCTTATTCGTAAATCTGAATGGTCTGTATTGATCTGGGATAATTTCCCTTCTCATCATCCAAAAAACTATCATTTTTTTAAATCTTTAATAAAAAAGTTATTTAAAAAAAATTGTTTGTGTATTCTGTAAATGATAAGTATTTGGTTTTAAGCTAATATTAAGAGCATTGTAGATACATTAAATCCTTACTGATTCATTTATAAATCTATATTTATAAACAGTTTATATAGCCGTAAGATACTGCTAATACTCATATTTTTTCTTTATAAAAAAACTTTTTTCCCTTTACCAAACAGTTTTCCAAGAACTAAGATAGATAAAAATCAATAACTTACCACTATAACCATTTTTCTTAGTGGTATCGTCTATAGTTTCTGAACTGGATTGATCGTCTGCCCCACATGAACAACTAGACGATGGTTCTTCGTCATTTTCATTTATATCAGATAAAGAATTATGACTTCCTTGAGAATCTAAACTGGAATCAGGAATAACTATATTTAAATCTTCACTTGTCTCATCATCTTTGTTTTTATTGGAAATTATTTTATGGGAAGGTTTTCGTGTCGCAAAATTAGTTAACATGGCAGCTCGCGTGTTTTCTATCTCTCTTACTAATTTTTTACGATCTGTAATCGAATTTTTTTTATAGGCTGCTTCATGTTTCTGGGATTGTAATTTACAAGTTGCTTTGTGACCTCTTTTAGTTGCCAACTCTTGATCAAGAAACTTTTGTTCCTCTAGAAGATCTTCTTTATCGTCTATGTCTTGAGCTTCTTTATGACCGAGACCTATTTCTTTTAAAGCTTTCTTGTACTGTGTTTGCAATTCCAATAATTTTCTATTTTGAGAGTTCTTCAATTTTTGTTTACCTAAAATTTAAGTTGTAATAAATAAGGTTATGTAACAACAAGTTCCCTACATTAAAAACCAGAGTTAAGCAATCTTATCAATTTTACAATTTTTGATAGAACGATATTTAATAAGCCAAAACTAATTTTCATAAAAAATAAACACAACTAAAAACAATTAAAATATGCCAAAAATACTTTTTCCTTTAGGAACATTTCTTTAAAATAACAATTTTTGACCATTCTTGGCTTCAAATACTGTATACATTCATTCACTGTCACTTACTAATTAATTAAATTCTACAATTTCACAGATGTGAAAATCAAACCAGGATCATGTTTCCCAAACTTTCTTAGATCGGAGCCCCCTTTTGACAATAAAATTAGTTGACTTGTCTTATTATGACCAGTTCAGTCGCCATTTAGTAACATTGCCAAATCAAGAGAAAAATCTAATATGCCATCTAAAACTTAGGTCAGTGGCTGAATAGAGAAAAATGTTTTTACTTCCACCATCCATGAGCCAGTTACACAATTTCTGTCCTCATGTTTTTCTTTTGTATTTAACCAAGAGAAAGCGCTACATTAGTGCATAGATTTTTCTGGAATTGTAAATTCGAGTATATATAAGTGGCAAAACGTGATTATGGAGCAAACTGTGCGCAGTCTTGCTGTAGTAAAATGATGCAATAAGTTATTTGTATTAGAATTGTATTTTCATCTTTACTATTTTATTAGATATGAAAAAATTTTTCAAAAGATTGTTAGAACCTTCTACATCTTGAATTAATAATAATAAAATAAAAAATACATTGTATAGTGATGAGAATCTTAAATATGGCCTTACAGCTATTTGGATAAGCCAGAGTGCGTTACTTGTGGAGAAGTTTTGTCAAAAGAAAGTATGAAGTGAAAATAAAAATAGGTGAAGAGGCTACAAAAGTAAACAATATACCCCTTTCTAATAATACTATTCACAGAAAAATAAGTGAATACTGAAATCACAAAAAAAAATTATTTTATTCTCCAATAGAAACCAATACTAAGGTAAGGTGTTTCAAATTTGTCAAATTTGAATCTGTCGGTTTCGACTATGAATCTGTCAAATTTTGACAGATTCATAGTCGGAAACCTACAACACAAAAATTCCTACTATTCAATATTAATAGCTCAAATAAACTAATATTGTAGACTTTTTCCTTTGAAAAAAGAAGAATTATTCTAAATAGTGGAAGTGTATACTAAACCCATAAAATTCTCCCTGTATATTTAAAATATAATATTTGAGCTGTTACAGTTCTTAATGAGTTAAATGTTATAGATGTTCTTAATAACAAAAACATTTCAGTTGACATCCTTATGTCAGAAAGTCTCAGAAAAAAGTGTGCGTAAATATAAATTTATCCCTAGTAAAACCCTCGCTTTAAAGAAAAAAAGCCGCAAAAGGGAATTAACGACTAACTTAAATGATATTGGCGTCAAAAAAAAATTCACTTAGAAATTTATCGCATGTATGAAGTAAGTACATTTCTATTATATATAATAAATATTTTTATAAAAAAGTTAAGCTAATTTAGTCTATATCGTTAAGTTTATAGTAGTCTGTATCATTTAGTCTATAACTTAAAGTTGAGAATAGTTTCAATAAACGAATAAATTTTAATATCATCCAGCTAATTTATTATTTTTTTAAAAGTGATGATAATAATGCTGAATAAGCAAAATTTTAAATGATATATAATCATAAAAACTACTCAATATTGTGTTATATAATCCACATAATAAAGTATGTTAGATAAAAAAGGTAAAATCCCAGGTCATCCAAAACAGGAATAATAAAATATTTGTGTAAGTTTGCAAAAAAAGTCAACAAAATACTCTAATGAAATAAGCTATGAGCATGTGTGCTTGGTTGTATAGTAATTTCCAGCCACTTTTAGTCTGTCAAAAATAATTGACTTCACAAAAAAATAATTACAAAATGCAACTGAGTATAGTAACTTATGCAAAGTACTTATAGATACCATATTGACTGAATGAAATTGCAAGAAATCTTGCTCATCAGAAATCAAAATCTTTACCTTCAGAAATGGATTGTGTTTTAAAAAGTGCCAATAAAATTTAAAACACCATCAATGGAAAAACATTACAAACTCGCATTTTCAGAAAAATTTATGAAGACATGGGTTCTTTATGTATCTTTCTGAAAACACTGAAGTGTGATGGTTTTCAAGGGATAACATTTTAAAATGAATGCCACATATAAAGTTAACACATTGATATAAAGAATGAATAAAATTATGGCAGATTTCAATTGGAAAAAAGAATTTTGATCTATTCCAGTGTGTTCAAAAACTCATGGAAGAATTAGGCAAGTATAATAATAGGGTAAATTTTAAACAAGTTTCTTTAGATAAGCAAACTACATTGCTTTGTGAATATAAAACAGCAGCTTTGTGAATATTTCCCCAAAGAAATTCAAATCAGTCATGAAAAGTACAGATGGGTACTGAATCCTTTTTTGGACAATTCTTTTTAACAAGCTAATTATAATTCCAACAAAAATTTAAGGAAAATTTATCGATTATAAAAAATAAAAATATCAAGTGATGGAATGTTAAAGCTAGACTTTTTTTCTCAAAGCCTGGATCAGCTTTGGACCAGAATTAGAGAAGCTCTCAAATGTTTAGTTCTATTTGCAACACCTTAATTATGTGAGTTGAGTTTCGCATCAACAAATTATTAAAACGAAAGTGGGAAATTGCTTAAAACTTGAAAATAAAAACATTCATTTAATTTAGTGATTATAGTGTGATTGTATGTGTTACCTGCAACTGTTTACTTATACTATTTCTGTAGTAAACTAACACCAAAGAATATAGACATACATACATCCATATTCTTTGATAATACATTCTGTATATTGTACAAGGAACTATATATTTTCGATGTCATAAATTTTGGGTCAATTATTGATTGATATAAATAATTAATCTCCCTAATTTGAGGCCAACATGTGCTGTGATCTTGAAGTGTGTAATAAAAAAAAACCATATAAGCTGATATCAGTATCTCACTTTAGTTAATAGCAGCATTACATTAGTAAATAATTTGGGACGTATGTGCCCTGGTAAAAAAATAGTAAAAGCTTACCGTCTTCTTCTATTTGCCTCATTTGCATCAACTTTTCTTTTTTAACTTTGTTTCTAACATTTTCGGCAATTTTCTTAGATTGGTCTCTAACTTGCTGTAGTCTAATAAGACGACGTTTGTCGAATTCTTTTTTAGATGGATCAAAATCTGCTGTTACCATTTTTCCTCTACTTATCCTAATTGGATTTCCAGAAACATGAACATTTATGGACATAATAAGAATGAAACTAAAAACTAAATGTTACACATACATCCCTGTTGAATTTTAAATATTGAACTACAATAAACTTTATATAATAAAATATAATAAGATCAACAAAAAATTATGATATAAAAAGTTTAAGGCACTATTTTGATTTGATTCAAACCGTTTTTGTTGTCGTTGTCCTTGTCAAAAGTCAAAAAGCAGTCAAGAACTATCGATTAATTCGAAATGTCGAGTATCGAAAACTATTCGAATCAAAAGTCTATATAGTCGGTACTCATTCGAACACAACAAAGACTTTAGAGTAGATAAATAATATCTTGACTTGAGCATAGATAATATAAGGAAGAAGAAGAAACGATAGGTCATGTTTATTGTTTATAACAATGACGTACAAAAAAAAATATATAGACTCGGTGAACGCTTTAAAAAGTGTCCAAAACATGAATACCTTTGTTATTGTTTATTGCTTTGATACGAAGATCACGAAGTTCATGATTTCTTACGAAGCATCACGAAGTTGATCTTGTGTTTGAAAACATCATGGACGTATGAAAACATTTTCTCCATTTTGTGTGACAAGCAAATTTTATTTTAAATTGTTGAGAGTTATTTACTTACTATTTTAGTAAAATGCCATACTATTTTATCAAAATAATTATTTCTCTTATAGACGGGAACAAATAGAAATCATAAATATTTAATTTTAATTAAAAAAATAATTATTGTCATTAAAATATAAATGAGCACGCCGCTGTTCTGATAAACCTACCTTCAACCTTGAGCCGAGATCTTTCGGACACTCGATTCTATATCGAGAATAGGGGACTGCCTAGTCTATATATTATACGTCATGTCATTGGTTTATAAACGTCATTGGTTTATTTATAATCATTAAGCCTTTTGGTTTTGTTTTACTTTTTATGTCTGAAATTATTTTTGATAAACAAAACCGAGGTTTATACAAAATTACAAATGGAAGTAAAACAAGAAGATAGTGATGAGACGTGTCAAGCAGAAATATATTATCATGCAGTTGATGATAGTCTTTTGGATATTTGTAAAATTGAAGTTAAGGAGGAACCTGAAAGAGAAAGTACACAGGATACATTTGATTATCTAGCCTTAACGAAAATTCCCATAATGACTGAGATAGAACCAGAGGAACATAAACTTACGTCATTAGAGAGAGGAACAAATCCAAAGGGTAAGTAAACCACAAGAGTACTAGGTTTAGAGTTCTATGAACCTAAAACATATATACATGCATTCTGCTTCGGCTAGTGATTTATTTTTATGTGTTTTCTAGTAATGGGCTAAACTGTGCTTCTGCAATGATGGGTATAACTGTGATTGTGATTTAACAGACCAACTATATAGTTGTGTATGCATATGTTAAACTTTTCTATTTTTATTTAGCACTGGTGGCATTTTAAAAATGTATGAGAATAAAAATTATTGAATATCAATACAAATACGACGAGTTACACAAACTCAATAAACTGAAATTCCAAATACTATTTTCGTTCTCTTCAAATATTTGTTTACATACTAATAATACACTAATCATATTTCTCCAAAGACGATATAATGTTATCTTTGCCTTTACGTTTCTCGTTAGAAAGAGACTTCTCAATACTGCCATTGTGCCAACTACCTCTATCTCGTTTCTTGTTATCCTGTTACATGTCTCTCATCAGTCTCAAAACAGTGACCTGTTTTACCAGAAAAAGGTATGTATTGATTCTTAAGTTATGTGGGCATTGTATTATTTATATGGAATTGAATAAAAATCTTATTTTATTTAAAACTAACGTTGAAGTTAATACTTATGTAGATAGGACAATTTGTCAGAAAATAAATTGTTCTAGTAGGAGTCTGTTAAACGTATCAAATGTAGTTAGGACAGTTTGTTTTTGTGCATATTATAAATTGAAATCCTTTTTATACATAAATTAGGAGTAACTGCTATTATTTGTATTACAAAGTGATCCAGAGGAATCATGAACCGAGAAAAGAAGTTAGTGAATATGTGTAAAATACAAGATTCGATGGAAACCTGCAATAAGTCAATGAACGCACTTTACACTAAGGTATTATTTTTTAGAGGATGTAATGAAAGTGTTTTTAAGTTAATAATTGTTTTATAATAATAAATGTTGTTTAATAATAAATGTTTTAGGCAAGTACGATTGCTAAGGTTACCGATATGCTCACTGTATCTTTGATGCAGATTCCGATGGCACCCTACAATACATTGAACCAACCCTCCGCTCAGGTAACATTTTTAATTGTTACATAAAAGTCTTTTTATATTTTAGTTCGCAATTTTTAGGAAAATGAGGTTTCAAAAGTGACTGATACATCCACTATCACTCTTATACTATCCGAAATAAAACTCGTTGGCAGTGAAATAATTTCAATTAATGAAAATCTTATATCTCTCCCAGAAAAATCTGAATTCCTCCAGGATATTACTCACACTGCTAATACTTCTCCTGTATATACGATCAATTATTTTTTGGACTTAAATAATATTTCAGGATTAAATCCTCAAAATGACACCGAAAGTTACACAGACAATATTTCTCTAGAAAGCTTATCCGATGAATACTATGTTCAGAACCATAATGAGAATGTTCATTATGGTTCTAAACATATTTCAGATTCAGATACAGCCACTAGTTCGTTTAATGAGTTGTTTGATGAATATTTGTCTGATGATTTAGTAAATGATCACAATATTGTTCAAAATCAAGAAAATTTTCATATAAATGACCCAAATAATTATAATATTACAGAAGGGCGCAAAAGACGACGACGGGCTGATTCTACTCAGTGGAAACGTAATATTAATAAGCAGTTGAGAATGGAAGGCAAACCTTATCTTGGATTTGCTAAGGGTGAAAATCAAAAGTCCGAACAAAACACCCAGCGATCAGCTCAAAAAATCAAGCCAAATTGTAACGTACCTTATCAAGTAGTAGTCAAATATCAAAACTTGACAATGTTCTCTTTTTACTGAAACCATTAGACGTGCCATTTTACGTTTCAGTATAGATTAAATAATGGACAAGGTGTAAAGCAAGTTTGTCGACAAATATTTTTGAACACGCTTGGTATCAATTACAAAATGGTTCAGAAATGGTGTCAACAAAGTTCATATAACATCCCTCGTCTAGCAGATCAGCGCAATAAACAAGTAAGTGACCGACCAGAACTAGCAAGGAAAATCAAGTTCCTCCAAAAATTTTTAAATGAACTGCCTAAAATGCCGTCACACTACGCTCGAAAACATTCAGCTAAACTATATTTGGAACTCATATTTCATACAATTTCTGATGTTTTTAAATTGTATCTTAGTACATGCGAAGCTGAAAAAGTCCCGTCTATTGGCAGAAAGAAATTTTTAGAAATAATTAGCCAACACAATATTTTAGTTTTTCCCAAAAAGAAGGACCAGTGTAACACATGTTGTAGCTACCGAACTGGAAACATAACAGAAGAGGAATGGCAAGCTCATCAAAAACGTAAACAGGACTGGAGAGATGAAATGGAAAAAGACAAAGTGAAGCTCAGTTAGAAAATCAGTTCACAATACAATTAGATTACCAGGCCGTAAAATTAGCTCCCTCTATACACGCAAACGCGTTTTATTACAAGACCAAGCTTGCTTGCCATAACTTGACAGTATACAATTTGGCTACAAAACATGCCAGTTGCTATTCTGATCTTCAGAAAATCAGCTTGTTGAGCAACATTTACTTCTTGTTTACTAGATTTTCTTTCAAGATATTGTGTAACAGAGAATAAAAGACTTATAACAATTTTTTCGGATGGATGCACTGCTCAGAATCGGAATGCAGTTATGGCCAATGCCCTTTTAAATTCCAGTATGTTACATAATATAATAATACATCAATACAATATAAGTTCCAAGTGATTACGTACCTATCACAAAAGAAGCTAGAAAGCTTCCAAACCCATATTAGGCTATTAATTGTGATTTTCGTTTTTTTAAGGATTATAGCAAAACTTTAAGATATTCTTCTAGCAAACGATCCAACTGTTATGGATATAAGATCTTTTTTTTACAATCCGTTAGGACATATTAAGGTAAAACTTGATCATACGGAATCAAATTGGACTGATCTTCTTGTAAGACCAATAAATATCCCCACAATATCCAAATATATTGCATTATTTACCGAACGATGTAAAATTTCCAAGGTAAAGTGGCAACATCTACAAGAACTAAAAAGTGTCATTCCATCGGACTGTCACTTTTTCTATGACAATTTGCCACATATTGTTTAGAATCATTAAAAACTTTATATTATTTAAGTTTATCTGTTATAAAAAGGTTCTTTTTAATTTAATTTGTATTATATAATCATAATGCATAGAGTCCTATGTAACAAAATATTTTATTTCAAATTGTCCTAACTGACTCACTAAATGTATAATGCAAGTAAATCAATTTTTGTTACCATTCACTTTTACGTAATAAAATTTAAGTAATTACGTATTTTTTTTATTCGTCGCTGTATCAATATTTTTAAAATAAAATGATTTTTTCTTCCTCCTGTAAAACACACTTTTTGTAGATAGGACATATTGCCTGCTCACCATCGATATGCATTATAAAAACATGCCAACACTGCCAAACCCAAATATTTGTGACATTTGCGGCTATATTCAGCTTGTACTTTCGGTAAACTCTGAAGTGATTACTGGATTCGAAGAAGTAAAACAAACAATAATTATTCAATTCTTTAATAAAAAGAATTTTAGAAGAACAGTACAAAAACAAGTGAAGTCCGCTGACTTATTAAAGTCACAATCTGACATGACATATGTCACTTTCAAATCAAGGCGGGAATTGTGGTATTTTAACACCTCCCCTCAATTCCGCCAAAATAACTTAAAACTAATTATTAAACAACAGTATCAGATAAGTATCAATACTATACAGATCACTATCATTAGCAATACTACATATACCTATACAGTCACTAAAATTTTTGAACTTAACACAAGATAATGCTTTTGTCATCATGTCTGCACACTGCTGTTCGCTGGGTACATATACTAGTTTAATTTTATTCTCAAAAACACAATCTCTAATAAAGTGATGACGAACATCTATGTGTTTAGATCGTTTTGTTTCTAGAGTACAAGCAATCTTTATGCATGACTGATTGTCTTCAAATATCACTATTGGATCAACAATTTTACAAATCATATCCTCTAGTAACTGTTTAAGAAAGAGACACTCAGTTATACAGTTTGACAAAGCAACATATTCTGCCTCAGTACTAGAAATTGCTACAACTGACTGCTTCTTTGATTTCCAGAAAATAATATTACTATTAAAATTCAAAACAAATCCACTTACACTTTTCCGATGATTAATATTGTAAGCGAAATCAGAGTCTACAAAAGCATTAATATTTATGACAGTATTATTAGATTTTACATATCTTAGAACAAAATTCTCAGTTTTCTTTAAATACCTCAAAACATTTTTTAAGTGATTCCAATGGTTGATACCAAAACAGTTTTGAAATTGACTAAAATACATTACTGTAAAACATAAATCTGGTCTTGTTCCAAGCATAATGTACATAAGTGATCCAATGAGTTGTTTATAAGGCACAATAGGGAGATCATTCTCATTTTTAATTAAATTTAATTTTGGTTGAATAGGCAGATCTAACGGTTTACAATAATTCATATTAAATTGGTTTAAAACTTTTCCAATTAAATTTTTCTGTGAAATTAATAAAAAAACACCTTTCTTTTCAATTTCAATACCCAGAAACACATTTTTATTTGAATTATTAGTTAAATCTTTCATTTCAAATTCTGATGATAATTGCTCTTTTATGTTATTTACATCAATGAAATTATTAGATATTATTATCAAATCATCTACCCAAATTAGCAAGTAAGTATTACATTTTATGTATAAACAGGGATCTACAGTAGATCTTCTGAAATTATTATCAAGTAGAAATAAATGTAACCGATCATACCAACACTTAGGGCTTTGTTTTAATCCATATAAAGCTTTCCTGAGTTGACACACATAACCTTTCTTAACTTGTGAAAGTACAGGAGGTGGTTGCATATAAACAGGATCCTTCAATTCTCCATTTAGAAAAGCAGACTTCACATCCATTTGATGAATTTCTGAATCTGTTTCAAGAGCTAACACCAAAAGTGCTCTTAATGTTATCATTCTGGCCACTGGAGTGTAAATATCTTCATCTGGATGAAGTTCCTGTTTATAACCTCTTGCAACTAGTCGAGCCTTTTTGAAAATCTTTCCATTTATTTCTTTCTGTGTAAATACCCATCTGGAGTCTATTATATTCACCTCATTCGGAGGCAACACCAACTCCCAAGTTTTATTTTTCTCTAGAACTGATAACTCTTCATTAACAGCTTCCAACCACTTTTTATCTTTTGTTGCTTCTTCATAATTTTTTGGAACTTCGGATGGTAAAATTCCTGCTGAGAGTGCTATCATGAAACCATTCATATCCATATCATAGTCATTATATCTAATTGGCATCTTTCGTTCTCTATTACTTTTTCTTATAGTATCATCCCTTTTTTCTTCATTTTCATTTTTGACATCATCTTTCTCTACATCTGTTTCCTTTTCTTCAGTAAAAATTTGGGTTTGTTTCACATATTGTTCATCAAATATCACACCCCGAGAAACTTCAATTTTATTATTTAAAGGATTCCATAAACGATATCCATTATTACTGTATCCTACCAAATATTTTTCTTGACTTCTTTCATCGAGCTTTCCTCTTACTTCTTGAGGAACATGATCCCAAGCCTTCGATCCAAATATTCGTATCTTTTCTAGGTCTAATTTTTTATTAAAATAAATTTCTGCTGGAAGTTTACCACTTGGCACTGCAGTGGTTTTTAATCGATTAATTATATATGTTGCTGTTCGTACAGCTTCTCCCTATAAATTCTTAGGTAGTTCACTATCAAAAAGTAAGCAACGGGTCATATTTAAAACAGTTCGGTTAAATCTCTCACTGACCCCATTTTGCTCAGGATTTCTAGGCACTGTAAATTCAATTTGAATTCCTTTAGATTTGCAAAAATTTTTAAATCCATGGGACACATACTCCCCACCATTGTCAGTACGTAACCTTGATATTTTAGTTTTAAATTGGGCACTTACCATTGCTTCATATTCCATAAACTTCTCCAAAACTTCACTTTTTTCTTTCATTAGATACACATATGAAAAGTGAGAAAAATGATCAATAAAGGATACAAAGTACCTGCATCCATCATATGATGCTGGAGAAAATGGTCCAGCCACATCAGATGATATAACTTCTAAAATTGCTTTGGCCTTGTTTTCAGTTGGAATATTCTTAAAAGGTTTCCTTGTTTGTTTCCCCTTAATACATATCTCACATAAATTACTTGGAGGATATAGTGAAGAATGACCCATTCTTCTGTGTAATATACTATCTGAAATGGCAACATTACATTTATTATCTACTACAGTAAAAGTAATTATATATAAGTTTCCTCTTAACATTCCACTCATGATTAAATTAGAATTATTATATACCTGTACTTTTTCATTTTCAAATATAATTGTTAGACCTGCCTGCTCCATTTTCTTTACACTTAACAGATTATATTCCAATTCATTGCGTTGTAAAATATCTTTCAGATTGAGTTTAACACCTACATTACTTAAAACATGTAAATTGCCACTCTTTTCAGCTTTTATAGTTACACCTTGCTTTGCTACACTAATATTATGAGCTACAGTTTTAATTTATGTCAAAAAACTTCCTGAAACTGCATTTATCAAATGATTTGTGGCACCAGAGTCTATTATAAAGTCAATGTTTTTGTTTACACTTTTATCAATTATTGTTTCATCTCTGTCAAAATTCAGATTGACAATTTTGACATTTGATGGACCATCCACCTCAACAAGCTCCTTTCTTTTGTCACACAAAACTGCATGTGTAGTGTATTAGGATGTGGCGATTCAAATTCATTTAGTTCAGTAAGAAATGAAATTTTTTCTTCATCCTGGTTTGGACGGACACTTGCACTATTAGCAGACCGACGTTCCATGCACTCATTTCTTTTATGTCCAATTTTACCACACTTCTAGCATTTAAATCGAAAATTGCCCTGTCCTTGTCCCACTACTGGAGGTTGTCTATTTGACTTTCGTCCATCATTCCATCGTCCTTCTCTACTATGATTTCCAGGACCATGTGTGAACTGCTGGGAATTCTGTTGACATCCATAGTGATATCGATTCTTATTAGTAAAGAAAACTGCTGTGGATTCTTCATTATTTTTAAGAGAATTTCCTTGACGAGATTCTTCCTGTAAGAGTTTATTTTTCACCATATTAAAATCAATTTTAGTTGGATCTTGACTGAAAATAATGTCAATTGCTGTGACTGTTGGTTGATATGACTCCGGCATAGCAGCTAACAATTGTGAAACAATTTCGGGTTCTCCAATAATTGTTCCACCACTATTCTTCAGATCTGTCACTGTGTTTTCAAAAATCATTATAAAATCTGTTAATTTTCCACTAGCATACCTCATGTTTCTTAATTTACGTTGAATTTCAACTTGAACAGACAAACCTTTTTGCAAATATGTGTCTTTTAAAGTATTGAACATATCTCTGGCTGTCTTTTTATCTTTTACAATCTGTATCACATTATCAGCTAAGCATTGCACTATAAGATTCCTTGTTTTGGCATCATTCTTTTTTAAGCTGTCATCAATTATGTCTTGTTATAAAATTTCCAGCAAATCATTTTGTTCCAACATTAATTCCATGCGAAACTTCCAATTTGAAAAACCAGTACCATCAAATTGTTTAAAATTTGCTACCTGTAGATTGACCGCCATTGCTGTGTTTGTTTTTATCACGTTTCCAGACTTCCAAGATTCTAAGATCCAAATTCCTGTTTACTCCTAGAATCACAAACTATTCCATTACTGGCACATAACTGGGCCCATAACCTGAAGTGATTACTGGATTCGAAGAAGTAAAACAAACAATAATTATTCAATTCTTTAATAAAAAGAATTTTGACAGCCAACGGCCATTACAATACCATAGGACAGTACAAAAACAAGTGAAGTCCGCTGACTTATTAAAGTCACAATCTGACATGACATATGTCAGTTTCAAATCAAGGCGGGAATTGTGGTATTTTAACAAACTCAACCTTCAAACTAAAAAAAAAAATTCCTTTATAAAAGGTGTAATAATAGAGACCCTGTCGGTCTACATCACAGAATGTTTTTGCAATAACTATTTCATCATCACTGCTACTCTACTGGGATTGCTAGTCCTTAGACAAAGTATCTGTGAGGACTTGTTGATAGCAACTGAATAAAATGACATATTAGGACAGAACAAAGCAGTAGATGTAACCAGAGGTATGTGTCTAAATGTAGCCAACATTATGTATAATTAAATGTTTTAAAATTGGATGTATTATAACAGTAGCAATCATCAATATGTTGGAATTTAGAGTGTGATTTACCCTGAAAGTTTGTTGGAAAAAATGTAAACTATGTATTATTGTGGGTGGGTTGAAGATTGATATAAGTTATTATTCTAGGTACGCAACCATCTATACAGATATCTAATTTAATGGTGGAGAGCTAATAAAAATTTTTATAAAAGGCCCCATATGTTTTATCAGCATTTGGTACTTGCAATATGGAAAGCAGACATTGCCAACAAGAAATCAAAAACAAGATTAGAATTAAATTAAAATAATAAATATACTTAATTAAATAATTGATATCATAATTTAAAAGATTAAAATAGGTGGTTATCACTGTTAACTGCACTGTGCACTGTTAACAATAACAGTGTTGTTTAAATAATAATATTTTGTGATTTTAAAACGTTTTTGTCTTGTTTGTTATTTTAATTTAATTTAGTATTATTCTTGTAGGCCGTTATCTTAATTGTATTTCTACTCTATTGAAAAAAAAATGTATTTTTTATTTTTATAGAATTGGACTGTAAATAAGTAAATATTTAGATTTATTATATTTCAGCTATATTTTTTTATGAAAAAATATATGTTGTTTTTTATTTTAGGCTTTCGCCAAGAGGAGAACACATTGGAAAGTATGAAAACAATACCTGTACATACATCTAATAAAGAACACCATATGAATCAATCAGTTAAAGAAAATACATTAAAATGTGAAATTTGTGGTAAGCAGTTTGCCCATAGACGTTCATTAAATCGACACACGAAAATTCACACTGGAGAAAAGTCCTACAAGTGTGAAATTTGTTTAAAGCAGTTTTCTCAAATAAGTTATATGAAACAACATATGAGATTACACACTGGAGAAAAACCATATAAATGTGAAATTTGTTCTAAACAGTTCACAATAAAAGGTAATTTAAAAAATCATTTGACACTGCACACTGGAGAAATGCCTTACAAGTGTGAAACTTGTTTTAAGCAGTTTGCCCATAGACGTTCATTAAATCAACACACGAACATTCACACTGGAGAAAAGCCATACAAGTGTGAAATTTGTTTAAAGCGGTTTTCTCAACAAAATACTTTGAATTTACATATGAGATTGCACACTGGAGAAAAACCATATAAATGTGAAATTTGTTTTAAGCATTTTAGCCAAGAGAAAATTTTGAAAAAGCATTTGATAGTACACTCTGGAGAAAAACCATACAAGTGTGAAATTTGTTTAAAGCAGTTTTCTCAACTAAATAATATGAAACAACATATGATATTGCACAGTGGAGAAAAACCATACAAATGTGAAATTTGTTTAAAGCAGTTTTCTCTAATATGTCGGATGAAACAACATATGAAATTGCACTTTAGAGAAAATCGATACAAATGTGAAATTTGTTTAAAACAGTTTCCTTATCTATATATTATGAAACAACATATGAGATTACATACTGGAGAAAAACCATACAAGTGTGAAATTTGCTTTAAAAAGTTCCCAATAAAAGGTAATTTAAAATCACATTTGAGACTGCACACTGGAGAAATGCCTTACAAGTGTAAAATTTGTTTTAAGCAATTTACTCATAAATGTTCTTTAGTTTCACATACACGTATTCACACTGGTGATAAACCTTACAAGTGTGAAATTTGCTTTAAGCAGTTTGCAATAAAAAGCAATTTAAAAAGACATTTTAGACTGCACTACATGCCTACAAGTGTGAAATTTGTTTTAAGCAATTGAATAAAACAGCAAGTTTGAAAAAGCGTTTGAGAGTGCACTCTAAAGAAAAACCATACAAGTGTGAAATTTGTTTTAAGAAGTTCCCAAGAGCTTATTTAAAAACTCATCTGAGACTGCACACTGAAGAAATGCCTTACAATTGTGAAATTTGTTCAAGCAATTTTCTTAACTAAGTAATATAAAAAAAAAACAACATATGAGTTTGCACACTGAAGAAAAATCTTAAATCGATACAAAACTTCTTAATATTTTATTAGTGTAAATGATATTTGAAAACAAAAAATATGTCCTAAACTAAATAATATGTTATTAGTTATTAAACAAAAAACAATAAAGTTTCAGGAAATTAAACAATTTTTTCTTAATTATTAAACAAAAAACAATACAGTTTCAGAAAAATAAACTATTTTTTATGAATGCTATTAAAGCAAGATAAACAAATTCCTGGTTGACCAGGACATTCCTGGTTGACCAGGACATTCATTGCAATAACTTGTTACTTTTGTCACCATATTACTTGCCTGTTTGCTTGAATGTGTTTCTCTTAATTTATGATAGCATCCTTGGCATTGTCTTCTACTTTTCTTTCCAGGTCCTGATGGTTTAACAAAAGTATGGATAACTGTTTTGGGAGTAGTGGTGTTTTCGTATGCAACTGAAGTAACAAGTAACTCTTGTGCCAATCTTTTTCTAAATTCCATTATAGATAACTTTGTGGAACAAGTAATATTGTTATAAACAATCCAGGCATTTACAATAGATGTTCCGAGTAAAAATTCAAAAGCTAGTTTACGGTACCATTTTAAACTTTTTCTTAAAACGGAATGATACGACCTCATCTGATCACTAAAGTCTACTCCTTTTTTTGCTTGATTGTAATCAATAATTGCCTTTGGTTTCATCACAAGCTCACGTTGCCAGTTCCGCTTTCCTGTTGGTTTTAAGGTAGTTGTATGGGTTGGATCAGTACTTAACATCAGAACTGGCCGTTTGTCCATCCATCTTATAATACGTAACGAGTTGTTCTGAGCACCCCAAATTTCTCCTTTTTTCATTTTTTTTAGGTATCGTTTTGGGAATACCTCTTCTGTTAGACCTCAGGGTTCCACAATAAATTATTTTTTTTTTTCAATAACGATTTGGCTAAAGGTAAACTGGAGTAATAATTATCAGCATACAAGTAGCGGTAGTAACCATCTTTGAATTCAACATTTTGGAGAAGGTCATATACTATCTGCTCACTTTGACAAGTATTTGCATTAGTAGTCGTATTTTTACCACGATAAACGATTATGTTGTTAGTATATCCATCCACTGTACATAATTTATATAATTTAATTCCATACGGGTGTGTTTTATTTGGGAGATATTGCTTTATTTGTAGTCTTCCTTGATAAGGTACTATACTTTCATCGACAACCAAAATCCGTCCTGGTGTTAATGCAGCTTGAAAATTTTTATTCAATACGTTTAAAACTTCACCTAACTTATAGAGCCGATCATCTCTATTACACTGCTCATTATTACAAAAATGAATGCAACGCATCAATAAAAGGAACCTGTCTCGTCTCATGGTATTAGTAATAAACTCATTCCTGAACATGGGATCTTTTGACCAATACAAATTTATTGCGGGACCATCAACTAATCCCATAACTATACATATTGAAAAAAAACGTTTAAGTTCGGCTACATCGCAGTCAACCCAGGAACGTATACGTGATTTTGATCGATGTATATTTAACAACAGTTGCCGAGCAAATCTATTTGTTTCAGTAACAATATTCTGTAAAAGATCATCAGTTACAAATAACTTGTAAGCGTCTATAGGATTTTTTATTTCATTAACGTTAAAATTTAATATAGGCAACTCTTGATATTGTTGCAACTCACCAGCTTCATTGTCACTCTCATCTATATCATGCCACTCGTTTTCATCATCATTTTCAGATTCTGACATTTTTTCACTTTCAATTTCTGTCTCATTATTATCATCAAATAAATCACTCGTACTTACATCACTGCAAGAGTCATCTGAAGAAAGAACATAGTTTTTGTCGATTACAGAATCGTCCGAATCAAAAGGATCGTCCCGTTCATTTTCACTGTCACTGTTTGGCAACTCTGCAAGCACATGATCTCTTGAATCACCATGACTTTGGCGCGCATTTACAACACTTGGGTTATCTTCGTTATATTTTTTATTTTCAAATGAAGTACTCGGTTCGTTACACTCTACAGTTTTTGTTTTGTTTGTATTAGCTGTTTTAGCTAAAAACAAAATCTTTTTAACGCGAGATGACATTTTTAGACTAGTAAAACACAGACATAAACACACCTGCTATTGAAATACAAACAATACTAAACGTGGATTGACTGCGCAAGCAAGCATATATAAATATGCACCGGTCCCACAGGACCGGTATCGCACCCGAGTAACAAATTGTAATGTCTGTGCGTTACCGGCCCCCAAAGCCCGGTACATTTTTTTCTTTTAAAAATGTTTGGAATCTTGAAACAAATATAATGCTGTTTTTAGCATTTAAAACAAACGAATATTAACGAAGATATGCTTTTCGCAATTTTTAAAAGTTTGCAGTTTTCACATACCGCACTTTAATAATAACGAACACCGGTCCCACGGGACCGGTAACGCAGTCAACCTGTTAAATTACGTAATATGTAACATTTGTTTTAAGCAGTTTTCCCGAAAAGATCAAAAAAACTGCACACAAATTTTTTTGAAAGATTTTTCTTTTATTTCCCCAAGATTGTTAAATGTGCTGTGTTGTTTTAGGACCAGGTGATTAGAACAAAAATTTGAGAATCTTTAATGGAAAATTTGTATTATAAAAAAATAATATGCTAGTAAGGCATTTTATTAGATGTTTCTAAAGTAAGATGATAATATCAAAGAATATAGACCCATAAAGAAGAATCTTTCACTGTGAGTTTTTAGCGTCAACAAAGGTTATACACAAAACAATCAGAAGTTGATCATGATTTTAGTTCCTTATTTGTACCCCTAAGGAACGATCATGTCAGCGCTATTACTGCTTCTAACTTTAGATATTTTTATATGTAGATGCCGCGTGGTCGTAGCATAGCATTAAATTTTTGTGTTTTATAAAATTTTTTGAAGAACAAAGTATTATTTTAATTGTAAATAAATGAATTTCTTCAGACAAAATATGATTCAAATTTTTAATTTAAATATGTACAAATCTTATAATTAAAAGTCTCTTCTTATAAGATATAAATGAGATTAATTAAAAGTCAATCACCGGGAAAGAATGCTCAAAAAGTTGTAAGGTGTTTCGATCAAAAAACAATTGCAGATCTTGTTAGTACGCTAAAATAGCTTTTTGGCACATGTACCTACCAAAGAATTATTTTTTACAATTTGAAAATTGGAATTGGAAGTTGTAAAGTATAATTTCGGACTCCTAATTAAAAAAAAAATAAATAAGTAAGTCTCAAGTAACGCCTCACTAGAGCTCAACAAAGGTAGATGAGAAAAAAGGCAAAAATGGCTGCTGGCACATGGACCATAGCCAATCCCAAGAAAATCAAATCACACAGATGGTAGTAGCACACAGACACCATCCTGATGCTCAACTAGATCGGGCCATTGATTATAAACCACTACCTAGATAGCTTACCTCGTGGTAACCGAAAGACGTATCAAAAACTAGATGGCGTTACTCGAAAACCGTATCGAGATTCTCATTCTCTCTCTGACTTGCGAGGAGATAGGAGTGGTGCTAGGGCCGAACTTACCATATAAATGTATTATCTGTGTGAAGTGTTGTGACAAGTTATAGCGAAATTTTATAAAAAAAAAGGACTCACATTTTAGATAAAATGGCCTGTGTAACGCATTAATATGTTTACGCGGGACGTTTTGAAAGAAACAATGGAACAAATAACAATATATATTTCTTTAAATTTCCCCTGAAAGACGTAGAGCGCACAAAAATTTGGCAAAAAAACTGTGGGAATATTGATATTATATTGATGGATATCAGTGACCTAAAACAGAGGGTAATTTGCCAGCATTATTTTGCAGTGAAACATTTTTATATCACTTTTATATAAATATGTACGTTTCTTCAGAAAATTCTTCTCGACTTTTAAGAATAAAATGTTTCGATATTGTCAATAATGAAAGTACTTCTTGAGAACAAGAAATAATAAATATTTTGTTTCCTAAAATTTTAACTTTACAATCTTAGTTTGAAAAGAATTAACATTCAAATATACTTATTTACTTTGTTTTGAAATATGACCCAATTAGTAATGTTTTAAACTTTATAATCCTGTCCGTTTATCAGCTTTTACCTATTGTTCCTAGGCAGATGGCCCTCATCTATTTATGTATTGGAAATTCCCTGTCATTTTATCAAAATATGTACTTACTTTATTCATTTTTAACGTTGGTAATTTGTGGTATTTTGTTAAAGTCAAAATCGATTGCATTTGATACTCACCACTACTTGCTTTTAAAACCTCGATGACGTAATTCCAGAAAGTCGGGTGTCGTTGTCAAAATACAAAAATTATTAATGAATTAAACAAAAATGATGTTGCTTAGTAAAAAAAATTCTTATAATAATTTATTTAATCTGACTCATTTATATCGGCAATTCAGACATATATTATATATTTTAAAGTAGATAATGAAATATTGGCAATGATATTTATAAGTTGCGTTCCTGGGACGACTTTGTTGAAAGATAGTTAATTCGATTACATGAAATCTACCCCAACTCAAGAATATCCGTCACAAAAAAATCATAACGTGTAATATGTCTTTAAATGGACAACCACATGCAATGGTGGCAGTTAAGTTCTTACGCTCATATAAATATAGTCCCAGGAACGCAACTCATAAATATTGGCAATATCATTTTAAAATCTTCTACTTTAAAATGTATAATATATGTCTGAATTGCCAATATCAATGAGTCAGATTAAATAAATTATTAGAAGATTTTTTTACTAAGCAACAACAGTTTTGTTTAATTCATTAATAATTTTTGTATTTTGACAACGACACCCGATTTGGGATCGAAACGTTAATAAAATCATTTTTTAGTGTGGTAATTATTTATGTGGACTTTAGTAAAATTGTGGCTTATTTCCCATCAAAACTAGATAAGATCTCGATTAAAAAACATTTTTTTTCATTTTTATAAATGCTTGTCTTGCAGTTTCAATGCGTGTCCTGATTTC